CTGCTCTTACTGGGTAGTTCTCCCAGTAGTAGAAAACGCTATTAAGCCTCATATACGATGCAAGGAAATAGCAATAGCGATAGAAATTACATGATTTTAATCTATCAGAAGCTATGTATTCTGGTTTCTGAAATCGTGTTATTTCTATTGCTATTGCTATTTCCTTGTATTGTGTCTGGGGCTTTACTTTTGAATGTCAAAAACATCTTTAGTTTCATAATTTATTTTTGCAATTGAAAAGTAATCATATTGGATCTGTCAATTTGAACTTTAAATTTTTTATATCAAATTTAAATTTAATACAAACCCAAAAACTTCTTATGATAAATCTTTGAAAGATTTCAACTTTTAAATATTGGTATTACTATCATGGAAAACCATTATAATGAAACAGTGTTACATATTTTGAGGTATGGAATAGAATGAATTATAAAAAATCGTGTAGCTTATAAAAAAAACTACACGATTTTAAAAAATAGATCCTCTTATCTTCCAAAGATTAAACTTCAAATTTTTAGTATATTTTCTCATTTATAAAAGTTGTGAAGAAGTATAATTTTCATTAAAATATAAATTCTTTTGAATATAAACATTCTTAAAATTTACTTCAAATATACATTCTTATTTAAACTAATGATATGTATAATGTCAATATGAGCCAACATGAGGTATTAGTGTGTGATATAGTCAAAACTTTATTAAGCAATTGCAGTATACATTTGGACCCTCGTTTAGGATCTTCTTCAGTACATAAATTAATAATGCAAAAAAATTAACTTTAAACATAGAAAATCATATTTTTTAAAGTATAAATTCAAAAATTTCAAATATATAAAAGATTCTCCAACAACTATTTAAATTTTTCTTCGAAAAAATGTATACTTATCTAATTGATTTTCTTCGAAAAAAATGTATACTTATTTAAATTGATTTTCTTCGAAAAAATGTATACTTACCTTCGTTGAATTCAAAGTCATTGAGGACTTTGTCTAAGTCGATCATAAATTTCTCCATGATACAACAATGTTCCAATCGTGTTTTTACTTAATAAATTTATCAACACTATCCAACTTTCATTAATCATATATATAATTCTATTAACATATATTGATATCAATAACCTCCATGATCGAAATGTGATTTTCAATATATAACCAGTGTAATGTAATTGGTATGATTCACGGTTCAATAGTAACGCATGTTCTTGGAATCTGCTTTAACTTGCTTCTTAAACAAGAGAAACAGATTACACCAATATTCTGCATCAGATGTAATATACGCGTGATTCAGACTCGTTCCATTCAACAATCGCCGAATTCGATTCTTGAGACATGACACTTATTTGAAAAAAATTAAGCACGTCGCGATATTGAAATTAATCAAAATCACTTTAACTTCGTTTTTAAAATGACTTACAAAACGATATAATAATTGTATCGTATCATCACATCTATAGGGCCTAGTATTGCGACCTGGGCCAGTGATGCACATCTGGCTCCCGGGTAACACGAGAATCATCCCCACCACTCTCGC